GATGGAAAATACAGACAAATGGTGATTGTTATGAATAACTGTGTGACTTATTAGTTGAGTTATAGTCCAACCGAGACGGGTTTGGACTTGAGAAGGGGAGAATGTTGTGTTGGACAATGGTATGAAGCAACCATGAACAATTTATGTAAATATACACGGGTATAAATAGAGCAGAACGGTATTAGTTCAGGGATTTTGTAAATGTGCGAGAACTGTAGAATAATAAACGTGAAATTTTTGATATCTCGGGTTCTGAGTCGAACGAACTTGGCTAGGTACGTAACAGTATAAAGTCAGTTTTTCCTTTTTTAAGATTGAGTATGAGATTACTTTGAGACAACCATTTTGCCACCAAGCTTAACTCTAAATTAATTGTATCTTGGATAGTTGAAAGTTCATTAATAATAAATAATATACCCTAAATAATAAATTACCGTAGAGTCTGCATAAAGAAGAATTTTCTTTTAGGACTTGATGAAAATCTTTTATAAGGATTTAAAAAAGGAGAGGACCTAGTATTGATCCTTGTGTAATATGTTCAGGTTTTGATGTCATATCATTAAATCGAACAAATTTCGTCCTATTGAATAACTAATAGTGGAACCAAACAATTCATAGCCCTCAATGCCATACACAGGAAGCTTTTCAAGAAGACATGAGAGGTGTACCGTGTCAAAAGCTTTTCGCAGGTCTAGGAATACAGCTCCGATTGCCATTCCTCTAACCATTGCCATTCTTATGTCATCAAACAATATTGTAACAGCATGGCTTGTTAATCTTTTGGATCTAAATCCATACTGCATAGTTGTTGGATAACATGTTGTTTTCCGGTTCCAAGTACTCTGATCGTTGATTGTATACCACACTTCTATAACTTTTGAAAATATCTGTAAAATTGATTGGGCGGATGTTGTCAAGCAGGGATTTTGATCCATTTTTATATTTTAACTTCCATTTTCTGGAGTGGGAAATATGCCAAAGTGCAAACTACGGTTTATTAATGTAGTAAGCGGCACCGCGATCTGATCAGCTCCTTCTTTAATTAGTCTTGGTCTACTAGTCTTACATAGCTAACTTCGGCGATTTGAAAGCAAAACTTTTTCATCAGAAGGTTTAAATTAAGTGTCAGGCCACAAAAATAATATGCCTTTCAAATTAAATTTTCAAGTCTCATGATTTTTTTTGGCAATTCTGAACCAATTCCAGCAAAAAAAAGAAGAGAATACATTAGCAACAGTAGCTCTGTCTGAGATGACCTGATCTAAATCTGATTGCTTTCGCTTCACATTTTTTCTCTGAGTAGGATAGCTATTCATTATTAATTTCAAAAACTATTTGACTGCCCGGATTAAAATTTGTTCACTGAAAAGTCATCAACCCCGATTATCTAATGCCTTCCCGCATCAGAACCATAAATTTTACACCAGAGTTCGTAGAAACTCTAATATTCTTGTTTTAAGGCCGTACACAAATCGATTAACCACCGGTAACCATGCTTTAATACGGGAGCAAAAATTTCAAATCTTTATTTTAATACATGCTTGTTTAAACTACAAGAAATTCAATCAAAGCGAACGAAACTTGAAGTTAGAAATAAATGACTCGTGCATGGTAATAAAAATTATAAATACATCCCTCGTGCTAACAATTTCGCGTTTGCCCTAAAAATACAAGTTTTAAAACACTGAAAATACGCGCATAGATTTGACGGAACTTTAACCGGCAAAACTGAACAAAAATTAAGAAGATTTAACGGGAAAAAGCGAGCAAAACCAATCCTCATTTAAGGCAGCGACAGCAATGGTTATTTTGAAGACTGTTTATATGACTATATTGACTAGTATTGTCTAATTCAATATCTTCAAATATAGAAGCAATTATAGATATATCTTTAGTTGAAATTACCTGTAATTGCATTCTACAGCCTCCTATAATATTCTTCTATAGTTTCATCAAAATCCTGTTCCGGTAGACTCGAATTTTAAGACAACTATTTCGACAATAAGTTATATTTCAAATTTCCAAATTCCAACCATCACTTCTTGTGATTCTCGAATTCGCCTCGAGGCTCGATCACCTCCTCAGCATAACCTCGCTCTCTGATTGGTTGCTTAGGGAACAAAATCCATCCTGATTGGCTCAAATTTGTAGTCGATTTCCCGCAAAAGAAAGCTCGTTGTGTTATTTTTTTTGAAACCGGACTTCAAATTAATCACTCAGAAATTGATTCGGGTAGAAACAAAAATATCTGCATTTGTGTCCTGACAAAATCTACTGCAAATCACTTTATAGCAGTTGAGCTGAATGTTTTCAAAATAGCCGGTGCATGGCGAAAGACCGGTAGGATTTAAATAACTGTAAAACAAGTTCCGCGTACATACGCACGTACGCACCATAATGCATCGCGCTTGAGCTCGGTTAGCCACCAAACTATGGAACTCGCTAAGACTCGCCCCAATAACCTTACATGTCCCATAAAACCTAATGGTAGTACAGTACATTCTTTACATGCATGAGGCCCTTTAAAACATGGCCATAGGACCCTGCGTTGGCCCAGTCTGAAGCTTTGGTAGTTACGCCACTGTCAGAGTAACCATACTATGGAGTAACCCACTACTCGAGTACATTACCATCAGTTTGAGATAACTTAGCAGAATTAAAACAACACAAGAAAGTTGGAATTTTTAAAATTTTACTGGGTGGAAATTCAATAGCAACTGCCAGTTATGACAGAGCTATACTAATTACATAATTGATTATAATATAACAAGAACAAGAATCAAATAAGCGCTAATGACGCATCTTTCAATTATCAGCCATGATCACTTACACAAATTAGTTCTCATGAGCATTAACACAAAGTTCCTTCAACTTTAAACTTAAGTAGGAACAGATCGACTGACTAACATGCTGACTGACAATCTTTCTATGAGACGCGTCTAAAAACTACAAAATATTGTTGTATACAATAAACTACAAATCCTACAAATTCTAATCTAAATGAAATATAGAGCGAGTTGCACCATATGGGATATGTCTTTTCAAACCATAAAGTCAAGGGAGATTATGGCATGTTGCACCGCATTAGTCAATATTTATTCCCTTTTTTTCACCAAAACATGACTTTGGCCAGATAAACAGCATTTTCTTTCTCTTTGGCCAAAACATGATGTTTGTCATTAATTGCTATGTGTTTGTCCTGAACAACAATTCTCTTCAAGTAAACTGAATTATTATTTCAATTCGTTTACATGACAAAAACATTCATTACGTACTGCCGACAGTGCTTCAAAACATTTTTTCATAGAATTACATTTTAGTGAGTTGTTGCTTATGGTGCAACGGCTTTTTTATTTCAACCTTAAATACGATGATTGCATCTTACTTTAGAATTACAATATTTACCCAGAAGCATTAAACAGATCACAGGGACCAGGGAAAAAATATCGGATTGAGGGTCTAAACCTACAATTCGTTGAACAAACTCCTATGTGAGGGTTTTTCAACTTGCCACAACCGTCAACCGCAGAAATTCAGAAAATTCAGCTGCTTTACTTGAATATATTTTCCCAAGTCATTGAAATAGGAAAGTTATTTGAGAAACAGCTCCACACCCCCTTTCCCACCCTTCTCCACTTTCCCTGAAATAAATATATGGTCTTGAAACTCGACTAAAGCCATTACATGTATTTTTTTCACGTTTTGCATAATAAAGCTTCTTTCAATAAGATTACATTGTCAAAATTACTATTTATAACCCGTTAAAGTCATGATAAACATGATTACGAAGGATTTGTGCGCTTTGAAGAAGTTGTTTTTTGGCCTAGCAATTATAAAACATCAAATATATAATAATTAAAATCAAATCGCTCAAATAGGAACCGCTTCCGCTGAATACAAAAGCAACGTCCTCGAAATTGTTTTGGGCGGATTTTGTGAAAATTAGCATACTCAAGTCCAAGAAGCTTTAGCAACGTGAACCTTTACGTAGGTATTTTCCGCCGCTGCTTCGTTAAAGGTTTGCTATTTCAGCCGTGTCTGTCAGGAACGTAAAAAATATATCGCAACTGTTAACATTTCTGACTAGTCTATGCATCATGCATTGGTAAAAGCTAAAAGCGTGTTGTTTGAATGCTTTCTTGATTGTTTGTTGCGCTCGATCTCGCGTTGTAGATCACTTTGACTTTTTCAGAGCGATGTTTTTCACGCCAGCGAATTTACTTTTTTCGTTTGTATTTAAGCAATTTGTTTTAGATGATTGCTGTTGAGAGCTTGGAAACGAAAGTAAAATGGTGTCTCTCATAACTATCATCGGTATAATGCGAAACCAAGAGTTTCCTCTCACTTACTTTTGCTTAAGATTGACTTCTATAGACGAAGGCTTTACTCGCCATAAATCTCGGACGTCACTATACCTAGCAGGTTGGATGGTTAGGTGAAGACGTGTCCCTCATCATGAACTACATATACAACCGAACCTTCCACACCATGTTAATTCCTAGTAGGTTTATCGAGGGATGCCGTTATTATTACAAATTGCACCGCTGCGCGCCTAATTTACGTGAAATCCGCTACACTGCGCTGTTATGATCCACATTAGCAAACTCGCGAATACAAATTGCCTGGCTTTATGTCAGAGTTGTTAGCAAATTTTAGGGAAAATTTCGAATTTTAGGTAAATTTGATAAAATTTAACCAAGGTTGCTATTTTCAAAATTTTCTAGGTAATTTACACCCCAACATCAAACCCGCGACGTACGTCTTTGCAACCACGTTGGTCATATTCGGCCAATTTTCTCCCGGTAAAGAGGGCTCAGTTTTTCAGCGGTCTTCGCATAAAAAATTAAAAGCTTTTCGTTTTACGCCTTGCTCTCAATTTTATGTAAGTTGTCCGCTGACAATATGAGCCTGCACGAGTGGGAGAAACTTAGCTAAGTTGGACCAGCGTGAACTCGAAATGCTTGTGGCAACTCGTTGTTATAAAATGAAACAAACCGATTATGAGCATAATCAAGCTGAAATATATCAGAATTTTAATTTTTGGATTCAATCTTGTTTTATATCTCTTTTACAGCGGACGAAACCCGCGGCCTATTAAATTTTCTTTGTGATTAAACCAATGAAAAGATGCATTGATTATACGTATATTTATGTCATATGGGCAGTATGTAATATTTTTAGTATGAAATAATTTAATTTCAGTGATGTTTTTAGTAAGATATTTATGTTTAGACCAGTCATTGGTGTCTTGGGATGTGTTAGTGTGCAGTGGTCGCATGTCACGCAGTACCGATATTTTATCCTAGACGTCGCCGTTGTTTTCTGCAGTCGCGTCCCAACTCCTTTTTATCTTATTAAAGCAATTGAAGCTCGGCCGTTTAGTCAAATTTCAGACCATATATTATTAACTATGTAAGCGGCAAGAAAATCTAGTTTATTATCTAACCCAGTGTCTTTGAATGATTGCGATCTCAGTAGCAATCCACAACGACATCACCACGATGGTCGCAGTACGAGGGAGGATTATTCCATCCATTATGACTGCAATCCCAGATGAATGATTCATAACCAGAGCATTGAACATGAGAAAGCAATACAGGACCACTTCCTTTGCCATAGTGAGCCAAGGGTCTGATGTTGGTCGCTCCAGAAAAACCCAACTGACGACAGGTGACGTTACCTTCAGTAATGCCAAAATATCTAAGACTACGATTGTGGATGAAGACACCACAGACTGTGCCCCAGCCAAGTGTTGGATGATAGATTTCCACTCTTCCACTCATATTGTCACTTGAACCATTCAATCTGATTTTCAGTTCAGAGTTGGCTATAACATAGACAATTACACATGTTAAGGAAAGACAACTTCCAGTTGATTTTCAGTCCTCATGTGTCTCTTTTCTCTCGGGCAAATACGTACTACGGTAAATAAATGAGTGAACTTCTAGTACGTCTAACGCTCTCATTGCTCGCAAAACAGAAACAATTTTGGTTTAGCTAAGAGACAATGAATTTTGTAAAAATTCAACGCATGTCACCGATTCCATAATTTATGCTAAAAATTTTCTGTTTAGTTGGTAAGAAATAAAGCCAGAATTAATACAATCATCTTATTGCTACTAAATATGTTCATTTGGGCTATATACTGCAAAAAAAACAGATTAAATCACAACCAATATTCGAACATTTTGTTTCTTGCATTATCATCCCTGCCTGCTACATGCATAACAAAAGATTAACGTCTATATTTTTAAATTTGGAATAGCGAAGTAGACACGGAGTTTAGGAACTGTTGAGTAAACGAATAGCGAGAGATTTAGTAGCGGCAAACTTCATGTCAGTCTTGACGAGCTTGCGCAAAGAAAGATAATTCGTCTGATGATCGATTTGTGTACATTGTATAAATAAAAACGGAGAAATGGATGCATGGATCATCCGCCAAATGCACAATTAGAAAAAAGCTGTGCAAATTCTTAGAGCAAAAGCACAGATTTCGTTGATGTCTGCACGATGATGTTTGCTAATTCACAACGTTTATTAATAAATTCAAATTGATTTTGCCAAAATAATAACTGCATGATTATTGATCGATCGTGTGGTCTGTACTGTGAAATGGCTATCTGTAAAACAAGGAACGGGGAATCGGGGAAAGGAATGAGGAAAGGAACGGGGAACGGTAAAACCAGGAATGGGAAAAGCCGGAATCTGTAAAACCAGGAATGGGAAAAGCCGGAATCTGTAAAACCAGGAATGAGAAAAGCCGGAATCTGTAAAACAAGGAATAAGAAAAGCCGGAATCTGTAAAACAAGGAGTGAGAAAAGCCGGAATCTGTAAAACCAGGAATGGGAAAAGCCGGAATCTGTAAAACCAGGAATGGGAAAAGCCGGAATCTGTAAAACCAGGAATGAGAAAAGCCGGAATCTGTAAAACAAGGAATGAGAAAAGCCGGAATCTGTAAAACCAGGAATGGGAAAAGCCGGAATCTGTAAAACAAGGAATGGGAAAAGTTTGTAACTAAATTAGTTACAATTTCCGCGCGTAATACAAAATATGCTAATTTGACATATGGCTATATTTTCCGTATTTTACCAAATTTCGCAGCCAAACTTAGCATTTCCACTAATTCAAGTACGCTTAATTCTTTTATCTGTTATATGGAACATAAACTGCATTCTTTTGTGGGGGAAGGAATGTATAATACATATATAATTATACAAACGATGAAACGATCACAAGCACTGACAAGGTTAGTTTGTAAACAGTTAAATTTGTTGATTTGGTCTTATTCATAAACCTACAAAGTGGAGCTTTGCGTGTTGCTATCTACCGTTTAATATCTACATTGCTATTGAAATTGAATAATGTTTGGTTGGAAATGAAAACTTTTTGGATCCAAATTTAAATTTCCAAATTTTCATATGAATTCCATACTGCAATGATATAAAATATGCAAGAACAACTTCATTAAATACACAATATATTTTATCTTTTCTATATTCAGTTCATTGTATTTACAGCTACCTAATATATCAGTATAAATCTATGCGAACAACAATTTTGCTCCATTTAATACATACATATTAAGCTTATTTTGCAATATATATTTGTCATAGTTCATGGTAACAGCTTATATCATTATTGAATCAGATTACCCCAGAACAATGCACTACACTTTGTTGTCCCAAATATAATATAATTTTGCTTGTAAGTAAAATTGTATAGAAAATGAAAATATTTTAGTGCATTTTGTACCTTAATAAACTCAGATTATAATTAAACAGTTACCATTCTCATCCAAGGTTTTAACGACTGGAGGCTGATTAAGAATATACAATAATAATCTGTAAGTAACTAACAGTTGCAATTAATTAAAATCTTGGCTCTTTGAGAACAACTTTGTGTTGGGATGGAATTTTGGAATATACCCTAGGTCTTGTTTAGAAAAGTATAATTTCCAACCAGCATTTACTTTTACAAATAATTTATTCAAATAAAAATGCTTTAGAAATTGTGTAGGGAAAACCTAGCTGTGGTTTTCTAGGCTAGCATGATTCAATATGAAAAGCTTTTACTATGAACTATGACTGTATAGTGCAAAATAATGTATTAAGTGTTAGCAAAATTAATTGTTGTTTGCATAATTATATATGTATTATATATTCCTTCAATCCTTCCTCCACAAAATAATTCAGTTTATGTTCCATATAACTGATAAAAGAATTAAGATATGTTGTTAAATTTTGGAATATTACCAGTATATTGTATTTGCTGCTACTTAATATAAATCTACTCTACAGTAGTGCATTGTTCAGGGGTAATCTGCATGATTCAATAATGAAAAGCTGTTACCATGAACTATGACAAATATATATTGCAAAATAAGCTTAATATGTATGTATTAAATGGAGCAAAATTGTTGTTCGCATAGATTTATACTGATATATTAGGTAGCTGTAAATACAATGAACTGAATATAGAAAAGATAAAATATATTGTGTATTTAATGAAGTTGTTCTTGCATATTTTATATCATTGCAGTATGCAATTCATATGAAAATTTGGAAATTTAAATTTGGATCCAAAAAGTTTTCATTTCCAACCAAACATTATTCAATTTCAATAGCAATGTAGATATTAAACGGTAGATAGCAACACGCAAAGCTCCACTTTGTAGGTTTATGAATAAGACCAAATCAACAAATTTAACTGTTTACAAACTAACCTTGTCAGTGCTTGTGATCGTTTCATCGTTTGTATAATTATATATGTATTATACATTCCTTCCCCCACAAAAGAATGCAGTTTATGTTCCATATAACAGATAAAAGAATTAAGCGTACTTGAATTAGTGGAAATGCTAAGTTTGGCTGCGAAATTTGGTAAAATACGGAAAATATAGCCATATGTCAAATTAGCATATTTTGTATTACGCGCGGAAATTGTAACTAATTTAGTTACAAACTTTTCCCATTCCTTGTTTTACAGATTCCGGCTTTTCCCATTCCTGGTTTTACAGATTCCGGCTTTTCTCATTCCGTGTTTTACAGATTCCGGCTTTTCTCATTCCTGGTTTTACAGATTTCGGCTTTTCCCATTCCTGGTTTTACAGATTCCGGCTTTTCTCATTCCTGGTTTTACAGATTCCGGCTTTTATCATTCCTGGTTTTACAGATTCCGGCTTTTCTCATTCCTGGTTTTACAGATTCCGGCTTTTCCCATTCCTGGTTTTACTGATTCCGGCTTTTCTCATTCCTTGTTTTACAGATTCCGGCTTTTCCCATTCCTGGTTTTACAGATTCCGGGTTTTCCCAATCCTGGTTTTACCATTCCCCGTTCCTTTCCTCATTCCTTTCCCCGATTCCCCGTTCCTTGTTTTACAGATAGCCACTGTGAAATATCAGACCGAGGCATTTTAGTAGAGATCGAGCGAGGTAGAAGCGAGGATCACGCAAAGGTTCAGATACGGAATATGCGGACCGAGGTCCGGATATGGGTTTTTCGGCTCCTCGTCAACCAATCAGAACAGAGGATTTTTAAAAGGAAAGTTTTATAATAATAAAACAGACATTTAAAAACAGTTACCGTATTTAGAGACTGATTACATGGTGTCATTTCAGCCCTGCAAACCGGACCTAAAGTATTTTTCCATTAAATGGCAAATTTCACCCCGGGCTGTGTTATTTTAAGACCAGGCTGAAATTTCAGCCCCTGCTGAGTTTGTAAAGGCTGGTAGTAGACCTTATGCGATTCTTCGAGCGCCTTAAAACCCCGAATGACAATAACTTGACCTTTAAGACACTATGATTGCACATAAAAATGAAATAAAAAAACGAAAAATCATTGTCAAAGCAAAGTTTTCTGTCCGGGTTTAAGTTTGTTTACAATTGCACGACAATTCCAGCCGAGTAGCTTAAAACGAGCTGAAAATTGACCCGGGCTGAAATAATTGTCATATAATCACGAGGTATGTTTTATTGGTATTTCATAAAAATACCAGGAAGAACTTACAGGGCTGAAAAGCTTTAAGCCGGACTGAAACTTAGCCCTGGCTGAAAGCACTCCATCATAGCTACTTAATTGTTTCTCAGTTTCTACAAACGTAAGTTTATCGCATGCTTCTATAAATATAATTTTTTTCGAAATAATTCGACACTTTTTTACTTCTCGCGTGCTCTTGAACATATGCCTGACGTGAGGCGGACAAACATCACTAAATTTCGCTGACTTGACAGTTTTTTGCGTTTTTCAAGTGGTTGAAATAATGATGGGATCAAGATTGCTGACTATGGTTGTATATTAACTCGTATACAAGCGTCTCTACAAAGCACCTTTAGCTAATTGAGTACATGCATGCTTTGTGTGCGATTTCTCTAACTACAAGATACTAACACTTATTCCAAAGGTCTGAGGGGTACACGAGATTTATCCCTCGAAGCCTGGTTACAGAATTCGTATTCATGAACATTTTTAATTGAAAAGTCATTTTGGATGGATATGGATGTGCACATTTTCAATTTTACAATGTGAAAAGCTTGGTAAATGTCCCAAAGGAGGTGATATCTTTGTGACTTGAGTTTGTTTCGTTGTAATTGTCTTCTCTGTACGATCAATGGATGTGACTTCACTTTCTTGCTTTTCCAGTGAATTTATATCATCTCCAAGTGGTTCGGTCAAAATCTGCCCGAACCTGTGGGATGATGACTGGTGGGTTGTTGGTTGTAAGTTTGGTATTACGGCAGGTACAAGGGCATTTGAACGGTGGGTTGGATATTTGTATCTTTGTTCTGCAGTAGTTTGGCTGGTTTTTGCTGAAACTTCTTCTTGGT